CTGACCATCATTTGGGTTGATGCAAAAATCCCCACCACTGTAATATGATTATACACTTGTGCAGCTGCAGTGATTAGAACAGAGGTTTCAGCAACTCTACTTTTAACCTGTTCAATTATATACAGTAGTTTATACTAAGCTAAGGTCTTTTGTAATAGGATAGAATAGAATAGAAAATCCATTTATTGTCCCACAATGGGGAAATTCTGGTGTTTACAGCAGCAAAAAAGATAGAAAAAAAGGTCACAAAAATGTTGACCTTAGAAAAAAAATATAAGAACAACATAATAGCGAAGAGTTAAAAGATAAACAATAAAATACTGTACTGTAAAGTGTTTTTTAATGATATAAAACTAATGAGTCTTGAGATGGGAGTAAATGGTTATCTCTTTTGCAGTTGATGTAGTGGTTATAATATTTGACTGCAATGCGAGGCACCTACGTTAGAATCCTGGTACAGGCAGGAAGGCCATTAAAACTTTGTCAAGTCTGGCATCATAATGACTTGCTGTGCTGACCCCCGAACAAGGGAGCAGCCAAAAGGACACAAAAAGAAAGGTTATCTGGTATTTCTTAATTCTGGAGGCTCTAAAAATGTTTTTGATGCCCCTTCGCCTTTTGTGTCTTCTTGTTAAATGCACATATAATTTGCTGTTGGTTTCTGCTTTCATTCAGTGAAGCTTTCTTGGTCAGATGTCGGCTCCTACTCAGTATTTTTTTTGCTACTGCCTTTTTGTCCTCTAATTTCACCCATTTTTCAAGTTTGCACTTTGTCAGCACAGTTCGAAAAACAACATTCCGTCTCTGAAGAAGAGAAAAAATGTTCATTAAGTGTGACTCATGATCTGATTTGAACAGAAAGTGTAAATCAACATCAACTTTAAACCCTCACTTATTTATCACTTCTATAGTGTCCCGAAAAAGCAGCAAAACTTCAGACTTAAAAAATTAATTTAATTCACCTCCATGAGATTATGTTTGAAGTCATTTTGACATGACATGGTCATAAACAACTAAATAAACAAACATGAAAGAGAAATGCACAGATTCGGGTTCAGACACTGAAACTGCTTCTGATCTTTCTGACAATCCCCATTTGCTGTAGGTTGTGTGATGCAGTTGTGACTTATATTTTACTCATACTCAAAGTTTAGAGTTGGTTAGAAATTCAGATTCACCTGCTCTCTATACTGAGCTTCATGCCCATTTCTGATGCCCCCAATTTCAATAGCATTACATTAACATTACTATGTGCAATGTTATGAATGGTCCTCAAGTTTTTTTTTTCATCCTATGATACAAAAGGTTATCTGTTAACTTAAAAAAGAAATTATTATGGCTCTCTGCTTGTCATTCCGTTATAAAGGCTATGTTTGTGGAGTCCATATTTGGGTAGTCTTGCAGCTGTGCAATGTTGTGACCAGAGATGGGAAGTAACGAAGTACAAATACTTCGTTACTGTACTCAAGTAGATTTTTCTGATATTTAGACTTTACTTTACTACTTATTTTTATGGCTACTTCTACTCCTTACATTTTTACACAAATATCTGTACTTTCTACTCCTTACATTTTAAAAAAATGGCTCGTTAGTTTAGTTTTGAATCATTTCAATGGAGTTACCGTTATTATTTTTCACGTCATCAATACCAAATTCAATCTAATTGGATGGGAATCTACGTTGCATTTGACGCACCACTACAAGATGAATCGACAGATTCGGCGGTATTCATTCGTGGCAAATCATTGCAGCTTGGTGCGGTGGCGTTAGCATAGTAGCATGGACGACGAGATGATTGAAAATGAACACAACGGAGATCTAGTCCTATTGGCAGACATCCATTTAAAATGTAGGCAACGGCATGAAAAAAGTGGTTTCTACTTTTATACTTTAAGTAAATTTACAAGCCTGTACTTTGTTACTTTTACTTGAGTAAAGAAGTTTAATCAGTACTTTCACTTTTACCAGAATATTTTTTAACACAAGTATCTGTACTTTTACTCAAGTACGGAAAGTGAGTACTTTTGCCATCTCTGGTTGTGACTATTTTCAAATGATTAATCATCCCTCACATGTCCAGCTTTTGCGGTTCTACTCGTTTCCCCAGAGCTTTCTTCTTGACCTCTCTGCTGCGTTTTTTTGGTCTTGCTGCTGCTGCTTGTTCACCAAAGTGTTGTTTTATAACAAACCCCTAAAGTCCTCATGGAAAAGCTTTAGACCTTATCTATATAATTTATACACAGATGGGCCAAAATCAGATGGCTTCGAAATGTAGTTGGTTGCACCAAACTTTAATTAGGGTTATCAGAGTAAATAGGAGGGCTGGTTTGGGGTATGCATAAGGAATTGTGTAAAATTGGCACAACATTTTATATTTTGTATAGCATTTCTTGATAGATGCATACCACACATCATTGCTTTTGTACTTATGACAATTAAAATAGAATATAATTGAACTTTATTGCCATTACACTAAACTTTAAGCATTAAGCTTTAAGTTTGTTGCCACAGCCAAAGGAGGGTTGTGGGAGTATGTCTCAATTCTGAGTCCAAGTGCAAAAAATACTGTACTTGACTGAATTCTGATAGTGATTGATATTTCCTTTGTGAATAGCTTCTAAAGAGCAATCTTACTCAGTAATGATTTTTCTTTCTCCTAAGGAGGTGTGTTTTCTGACTAAGAGGCATTCTAATCCAGTAGAGAATTAAAACATCCAAAGCAATCAATCAAAAGCCCAAGGGTAGTGAGACAGCCTTATCATGCTTTATACAAGGCCATTCCTCTTTGTTTGAACTTGGGTTAGTTCATAAAGGCAACCTGACATCGGTACACTGGGCATTGTGGATAGAGCTAATGGCTCATTTTATTGATTGCCTGTGGTGTAATCTGTCCATCAAGGTTTTCACAGCTGTAGCAAAAAGCCCTATAGGGTCATTTCCAGCCATCTGCCATTCCCAACACCCCCAGAGCATCCTGTATTTATTGACACACTCTTTAAAATAATCTTTGAGCAGGAATAGGAGAATGGTGGAGGAAAAATGGAAAGGTTGCAACTTTAGATAATCAAAAGTAGCTCAACGTAAAGACATACATTGTATGTTTTCATTGCACTGAATTAATACAAATTCCTTTAACCGATTTAAACATAAAATAGCTGCTAGCTTTTAATCTCACTGAGTGCTATTTCGTGTAAACATCCTGTCAGCCGACACTGCATCAGTGAGCCAAGATTTATGTTATGTACACTACTCAGATTTTCTTTTGCATCCTTGGGCTGCAGCCTATCCAATCCACAACACATGACAGGCAAGATTTATCAGTGATTGATATGAGGAAATGTTTTTTTTTTATATGAAAATACCACAATATTTTATAGTTATTTATAATAAGATAAAATGCATGCTTTAATTTAGACTATTTATCTAGCTTTAAGAATATTCTACTAAGTAGTTGAATTATCCTCAAAGACTAACTGTTTGGCTTCTTTCACAAACAAGGAAATGTAACCAAAATCCAACTTTTTGCCCAAATATTTACACCTAAAAGAAAGGGAATTTAAGCAACTTCTATACGTGATACTAAATCAGATATGCATCTAATTGATTTCAAAGCGTCTGCAGTGTGAACAGTGATATTACGCAGACTTCACAACAGCAGTAGTAATAACTGCTCCATAAAAGGCTACAATTAAGGGCTGCACTCTTATCGTATCTTTCTTTATCTTGTCATAATATTATTGGCTTCCATTACTCAGCATTTTAATAATATAGACCTGGCATCCACTATTACTTTTTTTTCCTTATTAAGCTTTATGAGCATCTCTAGTAACAGTCAGATCCATTAATTACCTCCATGAATAGTGACGATCTGTGTGATTTATCATATTATATTGTTTTTTTCCAACCCCCAATCAGAACTGCTCACCATGCAAGATATTGTTTTTCAAACTACTTATAAGAATAATTAAATTCAATTCAGTTTATTTATATAGCGCCAATTCACAATAATTGTTACCTGTTATAGAAAAAATTTAAATACTCAAGTTGTAGTCATTTTGTAAATTTTAGATGATTTCTAAAGACTTCTATGTATAAAAGTGTTTTCAACTCAACTCAACTCAACTTTATTGTCAAATGTGCTACATGGTAAACATACAACACAGATGAAATTTCAGTCCTCTCAACCCCACGGTGCATAATAAAATATAAAATATAATGAACCATAGCATAAAATAAAAACCTAAGATATAAAAATAAATATTAAAATATTTAAATATGCAAACAGTATGTTTATGTCAGGGTCCTAAATTTAAGTGTTAAATAACTCAATAAAATGTTTTTTTTCTTTATAATTTTAATAGAAAAATAACAATATATTTGATATTTTAATTTGTCATAACCAAATCCTGATGGAGAAATAAATTTGCTTGTAATTATTTACACACATTAACATATATTTCAATCAAAAAAAGTGTTTTAATGACCGAAACCTTAAAAACCAAGCATTTATACTTTTATTTTGATGTTTAGTGTTTTTGTTCAATACTCCATTGACTGTTGCAGCCACTTTTCCATGGATCAACACCATATTTTATGTAACAGTGCGCTTTGACTCCACAGGCTTATGGAGCATGTTGTTGTGTTTGCTCCCTGCTGCTAAATATCTGCCCTCTCTGTTGGCATTTGGATCAGTGTCACTCATTGTCGCACTTTTCCCTCTGTTTATCTGTGTCTCTTTTCTGCCAGGTCTTTCTTGCTGGTCCCCATGGACGTCCCTGTGTACTTGAGCTTTTAACTGGCCTTTTTCTCTCACTGTATTTCACCTTCTCATCCTGCATCTCACATCTTCTCTCCGGTGTCTCGGGGAGTGCCAGGTGGGGGCGTCCCTGGGGTGACCTTGGGGGGGTAATGAGCTCCTGATAACAAGTCAGGAAACACATAGTTTAACACCCCACCCCATTACCCTCCCCTCAACCCATGCAATACTAACTGAGAAGAAAAAAAGCCTAGACAGCCATCAAGCGCTCAGCCCACAAAGAGAAATAGTGTTGGAGAGACAGGACAGCAGGACAGAGGTGCAGATCAAAAGAGTCTTAAAGAAACTATTGCTTTTAACCCTGACATACAACTACCAGACCTCCAGAGCAAAGTAAGTGAATTTTGTCTTTCTCTTAGATGCTCATATACTGACACCATGTTTACTTTTTATCACTGCTGCACTTTAAGAAATGGAGCTGTACTGAATGAAATTTTGTTTGTCTAAATCGAAGACACATTGTGTTTTATAGGAATGATGGGCAGGTGAGATAGTTATTTGACCCGATCCTGAAGCAGAAAAGTTGCTGCAACAACATTTTGTGCAAGTCTTGGTTTCAAGGCTTTCCATCTCTACCTTGGGACCCAAACTTTGAGATTTTCCATTTTCTGACTCGGTCCTCATTTATTTATTACACATTGTTTGCCTTTTGGACAACGATACAGACATGCTAGTAATTGTTTTTTCTGTTAGTTAATGTTAAGCATAATTTTCCCTTGAAGCTGTTGATACAAGATAATAAAACATAAAAAAAAACTAAAAGTTTATTAAGCTTAAACAAATTATGGTCACAGACGGAGAATGGCTTGTAGACAAACAGCGTAAACAATTGTAAAGAGCTAATAATCCAGACGCCATGGGCTAAAGAGTGTTTTGCTAAATCACCAACCGGCCCTTTTTCTCAGTGATTAGACTTCAAACATCCATATGCTTGTTTATTATTGCTATCAGCCAAAAAAATTTGCAAACTCAATTAAGTCAGCTTGTGCATGTAAACTGGTAGATGTACTCCACTTTCATTTTCCCAGGATATTTTAATTTGGGTCAGGCCTGACTAGAATGACAAAACTTTCTCTTCTGAACTGCATCAGTGCCATGTGATCCTGCAGACCTTCTGCTTGCGTTGCCATGGCGTTATTCAGAGCCCGGTAAAGCAACCCAAGTCAGACCCACGAGTTTCCTCTCTGTCTTATGAGCATTCTTTCAGTGGACAAAAGCTCTCTCCAGTTCATTCTTACTTAAAATGAAGTGCTTGTTTATTTAGATTCAACACATGGTGTGGTCCTAAAGAAAGGCCCGACAGAGATTACACATGAAGTGGAGATGAGCTTGAGAAATCTGCTTTGGTCCACAGGAAGTTGGAGCACAATGTGGATTAAGCTGGATGACAACCAACAGGGGTCGACTTTATAGAACTTCTTCTTTACAAAGCGGATTCTAGTATTTTTCTTCTATGATGGTCACTTAGGGTTCTTAAGTGTCATCTTACACATTCTTGTCATTTCTGTTGTTGCCCCACATACTTTACAATATGATAAGCACAAAGCTGGTTAATTTCTTTCTGTGTTCTCACAGCCTCTTTCAGAATGCTCTCTGTGGAGGATCTGAAGCAATAAGGCATAGAATTGCGCTGTTAGGGGCCAGAAAAGTCCACTCCAGGGGGGAGGGAAGCTCTGTGAAAGGAGCCAGTTCTTGTCTATAGGGCATAAGTAAGTGAACAAGAGAGAGGAAGAAGGGTATGGGGGCTTCAGACATACACAAAGGTCCTCACATTGAAGGACAGGTTCATTTTTTGTTGGGTAAGCAATGACAATTCACATGCAAGATAAAGAAAATGGGCCTTGTGGGGTCTAGAGGGCCTCCACAGAAAAGGAGGATGGGATAAATAGAGAAATCGAAGAAAGGGGGAGGAGAAGGAACCAAAAGGATTGGCCTGTCAATTAACTATCCGTCTAACTCCCACTTCCCAAAGACATGCTTCAGAAATGACAGAGAGCAGAGCAGGAAAATCAAGCTGTGTGAACTTTGGCAATACATGTCAGCTGCTACCCTATTCATTTCCCTTTATTAAAAATAAAAGATAATTTTCCAACTGTTAAAGGTTAGATAAAAAAAATTAAAATGTTTGAGTAAGAAGCCTAGGCGTTCTTATATAAATCAAGCAACTAATTCATTTCTCTCAAGTGTGAGACAAAGAATCACAAATATTGTTTCATTTTAGTTTCCCACTGTCTAAAGATTTTCCCAATGTCTTAATATTGAAGATTCTTCTTTATTTATGTAAATTTCAAGTATCGAAGTGTTTTCTTACTACCGTATCTCTAATATTTTTTTTGTTGTATTTGTGTTCTGGCTATCTGGATGCAATAAGACAACCTCCGTTTTATCCACAGCATGGATTGAGCATTAAAGTATTTGAAAAACTATGTGTAATCAACCTTAACCAGCTCCAATTGAGCTAACCCCTCTTACTTCCAGTTTGTTCTCCTGTATTTGCTTGGGGGTGCTTTTTTCCCTGTCATGTTTTCTTTCCTCTGTAATGAGTCAGCTCATTAGTGGCTCTTTCTGCTGCTTCGAACCTGAACACTTGCCCAAATCCAGACAAAGACTTCCCAGACTTCCCAAAAAAGTAACAGAAAGAACGTAGGGCAAAGGTCTGATGGGTGGATGTAGCCTCTGTGCCCAATTAGGAATTGAACATCTAGCTGCAGTGTAATATTAATTGAATTTGATTGTATTTTTTTCATCTAGTCACATTAGGACCAAACAAATTCATCACAACTTGTACTTTTAATTTCCAATTGTGATTTTTAAATTAAATCCCTTTTGTTGAGGTCATAAACATCTTACATTCTGGGAAAATGGATCATTAGTTATTGGAGTAGTGAAATTAAAGGTGAAATGAAAAGTTTTACATTATTTTAAGTATGCTCAAGAGAGATCAGTGGACAGTATTCAAGTATTTTGTAAATAGAGACTGAATTTATTGGCTCACCAAGCTTTTCCCTGATACGTCTTTCACTCTGTTTTTGGTTCTTGTTTTTTGTGCACTGTTTTGCCAATATAACTCTGGGAATAGATGTCCCAGAGCTATATGATAGCCCAACAGATTTGTTTTCACAAGCAGATTATTTTGACTGTTGCCATATGGTTCTGCTTGATACGTGTATATAAACCTTTGTCGAAATAATTTGGGGAGTAAGAACTTATACAACAGACACAAAGACAGATATGGAGGTGAGAAAGAGGGGATAAGGACTAAGGGGACAGGCAAAGAGAGAGAGACAGGAAAGAGGGAAGATTTTGTGAAAACATAAAAAAAAAACGGCCACAATAAATGACAGAAGATATGCAGCCTCAACACCTGTATGAGACCAGAGAAAAAGAACACAGAGCATAACAACAGAAAAACGAGGACAACAGACAAAGTAATCATAAAAAAAGGTAAAACCTATGGTGGTTATAAAATGTAATTCAGTCTAGTATATGTCTGTAGCTGTGTCTTAGTAGCCAGGCATTAGTGTGCATCCACGACCACCTAGAACCAAACTCCTGTGGTATGTATGTATGGGCATGGGCGTGTATAAATAATTTACAAAGCTTGTTCAGAATAGCAGGTGTCGGCAGCCTCAGCCTCACCCTACAGGTCAAGAGCCAGAGATATCCAAAGGCATCCCAGATCAGTGGGACACAAGAAGCGCAGAAATAGGGATGGCTGCACTCAAGGCCAAACCCCAGAGAGGCCCAGTCTCTGAGGGCCCTGTGCCCAGAGGCCATAATGCTTAGGTTCCACTCTGCCATGGCAACAAGCCAATGGGATCCATAGGTGGCCGTCGACCCATGGCAGCAAGCCAATGGGCTCCATGGATGGACGGTCACGCTCCCCAAGGAGGAAGTGGATAAGAGCTCAAAGGTCAGAGGCTTGGGGACACACCACCACCTAGTGGGGACCCCACAGGGCCAGAAGGCCTTGGCCTGGCCGGGCAGCATCCAGGAATGAGAAAGCGCCTCCCGTCATACCCAGACCTTCACCTAGAGAACTAACAGCGTGCCAGGAGACACAGGCACCTCTTATTGGTGGGGAGGATATAGAGAAGGAGGAGGCAGAACATGCTTTGGTATTAAGATTAAACCAATAGAAATGGTAAATGGCATGTACTTATACAGCGCCTTTATTCAAGTCAGGAGACCTGACCAAAGCGCTTTACACTACATTCATTCACCCATTCACGCACACACTCACACACTGATGGTGGCAAGCTACATTGTAGCTGCCCCAGCTGCCCTGGGGCTCACTGACAGAAGCGGGGCTGCCGTACACTGGCGCCACCGGGCCCTCTGACCACCATCAGTAGACAATGCAGGTGAAGTGTCTTGCCCAAGGACCCAACGACACTGAAAGTCGGATTCGGGGCTTGAACCGTCAATCCTTCGATTTCAGGGCAAACTCCTACATCCAATGCCACTGTCGCCCCAATAGCGCAGATGCAACACAGAAACAACCATACAGATGCAACAAAAATCAGCCTAGCACAGCAAATGGAGAGGTATTTAAACATTGCCTCTCTGTTTTCCTACTGACCTCTGCAGCAGGTCAGTACGAAATAATCAGTCCAAGCGAATAGCAGGAGACAGAAGCCAGGTACAAAAAGTGAGTCTGTGATCGGAAACCAGAGGCTGATAGATTCATCAGGAGCTAGGCAAGGAAGGGTCATCCAAGAACAAGGGGAACGCTGCAACTGCTGCCAGCAGAGGCCCAGGTGGAGCTGATGAACTTGATTGCAGAAGAGCAGTGAGACAGAATCTTGACAACAGAAGATTTTTTCGTTATGTTTTATATTCCAACCCTTTTTAGTAGACTCTGAACAGTTTCAACAACTTCCCTGCTTAACAAAATAGTGCGTAATTATGTCATAAATAGCTGATACTGGTGTAGGGTACAAGAGTTTGTCCTGCAATCATAGAGTTGCAGGTTTAAACCTCAGTGCTGCCCATTTCTGTTATTGTGTCTTCGGGCAAGACACACATTGCCTCCTGATGGTGGTCAGAGGGCCAAGTGCCACCTGTGTATTGCAGCCTTGTTTCTGTCAATGTCCCTCAGGGCAGCTGTGGCTATAGTTTAGGTTGCTATCAGTATGTGAAAGTGTGCATGAATAACTAAATGTATTATAAAGCACTTGGGAGTCCCCTGACTTGGAAGGTGTTAAATAAGTCAATTTACCATAATTGACTCTTGGCATATTTATTAGACCATGTTTTCCTGATTATACTTGGGGAATTTTTACCTTGATATAACTCAGAGATGTATTTTATTCCTTCTAGGCACACTTACA